GCTTGTAACTTTAAGAAACAAAAGCCTTCTGTGGCTGTTGTTAGGCAGCTACAACAGTATTGCCAGTTGAAGCCTTGGTTTCTACCAGTACAAGGCAAGAAGAGGGGGACAGTTCTTTTGATGACTGTTCTGGCCTTTGAGGGAAGGACTCACTGGGGCCAGGCCTGACAGCAACCACAGGGCAACTTGTTACCACATGATCTGCCTGACTTACCTTGACCCAGGAGCTCACTACTATTCAACAGCCACCCCATGACAGCCAGTGCGGTATCGCGGTTAGAGCTTCAGATCCGAACCCACATTACATATATTTTAGTTTTTATTTTATTTTTCAACAGTCTGTTATGGTAGCCTTGTTAAATTACCAGTTTGCTTTCACATGCGTACCTGTATTTGTATTTACTGTTTTTTCTTTTCTTTTTTTCTGTGCTACTCATTAATTTTAATTAATTTGTATTTCTTTATTTATTCACTTATAATATCTAAGAAAAGAGTCTACCCTTTTGAGGACTCTCCCATGTGTGTGTGAGGGGAATCTTTCTACAGATTATGCTACCGATTCTTCTTCAGGTAACTTTCTAGTTCTAAGTTTGTTTTTTCTTTAAAACATCAGAAAGCACCTTGCCAGTGATACTTTCTCAAGAATAAAACAATGTAGTTCAGAAAGAAAAGCAGATCATTTGAGATTCCAAAACTGGCACTCAAAACAAGACAGAATGATACTTAAAAGTTCAGATGATTCTAATCTTTTCCGGTGGTGGTGGAAAGCGCCGTCAAGTCACAACCAATTTATGGCAACTCCACAGGATTTTTCAAGGCAAGAGACAAACAGGTGGTTTGCCATTACCTGCCTTTGTGAAGCAACTCTAGATTTCCTTGGTGGTCTCCCATGCAAGTACTAACCAGGTCTGACCCTGTTTAGCTTCGAAGATCAGGCTAGCCTGGACCATCCAGGTCAGAACAATCTTTTTTACCATACTATAACTATTTATCCACACTGCAATAGTAATATGAAAAGACAAGAGGGGACCCGCAACAAAATGTTGCATAATGTGTTGTGACTCCCTGAGCTAGGACAAAAATCTGTGAGCTGGAGGCTAAAAAGCTGTAGCTAGCTCACACTAACTCAGCTTAGAGGGAACACTGGTGGCTGCAGTCCAGAGAAACCTCACAGTTTAAAAGTAATCATTGTTATCAAAGCTCTGCAGTTTTAATAGCATTCCCATGACTAAACTACTCTAACTCAACATTACAGCTGATTTAGCAATACCACTTTGGTCAGGATGAGGCATCAAAGAGCAGCGTCGCGGGGGGGGGGGGGGAGCCACATTTTGAAG